CAGTCTTCTGATACACCAACACCAACTACCCATGGATCTACTGACCAGTCTTCTGATACACCAACACCAACTACCAATGGATCTACTGACCAGTCTTCTGATGCACCAACACTAACTACACAGGGATTTGGGGAAGGGTATGATAAGTAACTCCGACATTTACGAAAATACAGCTATTTAAAATATTAGTAAAGTCTTTGTTGCATGCTGCACACCAAGTCCAAAAAGTAATACGAACGATGTGAATACAATCAGCGAAAGGTCACAACGATTTGAAATTTTCTCAACCTTTGTCTGCACGTTGTTCCGTTGTTTTTCTGTCTGCTGTGCTAACATTATTTACATACGAATGTAATTGATGGGTTGCAAACATACCCATGAGAGATAAAAGAGAAAAAATGGCGGCCATTGTGGTACCGTTATCAATGGATGCTAATGAGAAATGACGTAACGTGCAGACGAAGCCAATATGTTTTTTTCTTTCACTCGGTCTCAGTCCCTTTCTCAATTCCGGAAAAAGAATTGTGTAGTCACTAAAATTCGCAAGTTATAAAACACACGTAAAATTTTGTTTCTTCATTTGGTTCTGATTTTGAAAGGGCCTAACACTTTCCTGAGGTACACCCGACCGGGATACCCGAGCTCGTTCTTGATGCACCAAAATTTTTATAATATAAGGCCTTTTAAAAACGTCGCTGATAAAGCAAGTTTGCATGCATACAGATCAGTTATAAAGGATTAAATAATGTATCGTGAGGTTTACTGAGGCCCCGTCCACCGTATCCGCAAATATTTGTATCCGCAATTTTTTTTTACGGATACGGGTTGCGTCCACACGTGTACGCAAATTTTTGTGTCCGTATCCGCAAATTTTACGAAAACGGATACGTGTTGACGGTGAAAACGATTCGAATACGCTGCCTGTTGACGCAAACATTTTCGTATCCGCAAAAAATAATTTTCGGATACAAACGGCAGTCTATTGCAAAGTGCACGTCGCGATTTTTTTCTGGGGTGGCCGCGTGGCAATGCAAATGGCGGTAAAGTCCTGCTTTGAAAAAAGTTGAACTTTATTGACATACGTTTGTTTTCCCATTAAAAGAAAGCAATCGAATTACGATATTTCATCTGTTCGCTTTATCGCTTTTAAATTCATTCTTTTCTTTTGTCTTCAAATCTTAAACAATTAAAAATATTATTAAATGACACCATTACTTTGATACTTTTTTTTAGGTTTAATGATCGCCCGTCCTCTCCCCACCCCTCTCCCCATCGCCAATCGAAATGCTATCAAATTCTAATATACGCGGTAATGACATGTTGTGGTCCTAGAATAGTGAAATACACCCTTCATCTTAGTGATAGATCTATGTTACCTTGGGTGGGGTCATAATGATATGTTGTAGTCCTAGAATAGTGAAATACACCCTTCATCTTAGTGATTGATAAATGAGAAGAGTTGCTCTGCTACGGCAGAGTCTAGGCATTCCATACATGATTGGAACACGACATCACCGTGCGCTGATTGGCTCTCTTTAAGCTTAGCACCAACAAACTGCCACAGAGGAATACGATGCACTGGATCCGATAAGGTCAACTGTTGGATTACACAAGAGGCTTATCAGAGCTAGTATAGAGGGTTTGCACCATCACGTGCCCACCGCCATAATACAGATCGGGTTGCCAGTGGTTACATGGCAGAACAATAAAATCCCTTTGCTCTCGGGAATTAAATTCTTATGTCAAACGATTGTATTGGTCCTGCCATCTAGCTTGGCTGCCGTCACGTGGTGGTGCAAAACATCTATAGAATGGTTAGCTTTCAGACCACGTGTCAAATATGATTGGATCAATTGGCAGACTGTGATTGGTTGACTGACTCTAAAACCCTTATTTGCTCACAGGACCTATAGATCGACCCCTTGTATGTGACGTCAAAACAGCTCAATTTGGAGGACAAAACAAATGAATTTCAATCTCATGAGAATTGGAAACATATGTTATTTCCTCCTAATTGAACTGAATTCCGACGTGCTGCAAGAGGTCTATTGCTGCCTTTCACTCAGCTGATAAAAGTCTTTGAATCTCATTATCTGCTCCACATGGTGTTCAAACACTGACCACCATGTGCTGTCAGCCAGAAAGAATGCTATTGAAAACTTGTGATTCAACTGATGAACATTTCAAAGAAATGGGAGACGGGAAGTGAAGTGAAGTGATACCCAGCAATTCATTAAGAAATCTTGCCTGGGATTTGGAATGTTAACTTCCCAGTGGACTTTTCTCCAGAAATATGTACGTAAGATACGACCTTACCTTCTTTTTTCTCAGTTGGTTTTCCGATTCTGACTCATCATTCGGAACATCCTCATCAGTAAAAAGTACGAGGCAACTGAAACGAAAAGAGCCAGTAAAACTCCCGAGAAGATTCGGTTCTGGGGGGCAAAACAATGGATGTTTCTTTTGCATAAGAAAAGACGCCCTATTGTTTTAACGGCTAGCTTGTCCGGGCTTCTCAGAGAAAATAGCAGCTTTTAAATATGAGACTGAAACGAAGAAGGTGGGTTTTGGTGGTACTCACTCTGTATGTACTCCTTCTTCACACCGATGAATCTCGTGTAAAACATCCACAACTGCATCCAGGATGACTGCAAATCTCTCTGTTACACATCTAAGGAAAAAGGAATGCACAGGTTTAATTTCTGTAGGCTTAATTCAAGTGATGTCATAACAAGTCAAGGGCGGATCCGGCGGGGGGG